TTCTTTAAGTAGAATAAGAAGATAATAAGGATATGAGCAAAGTGCCTTGTGTGGTATTTTAGGTTAAATTAATCATTAAATATCAGAGAAATTGACTAAAAATTGAATAACTCAATTTTCAAAAATCAAAAGACTCAAAACTACATTTAACAAAGAAGAATTACTATGTCATGTACGTATTTTATACTTCAAAGAAAGGAGATAAATGGAGCTCGCCCTTGTTCTCATTCCTTGTATGCCGTAGACTAGCTCCAGACCTTGTAGGCAAAATAGGGTTATCAGTAGATGTATGGGATTGTCCACAAAGATATCATAAAGGTCGACATTAGCACTTGGAGCCTTGGACTGAGTATATACAAACCAAAGTTCATCCTTGTAGTAATGGGTAAAATTATATATCTTTTGAATACTTCTCTCATATATGCAAGTTCCACAAGCAAAGCAACGACTTCTTTTTTTCTTTATTTACCCTTTTGGATTACTTATAACAAGTGTAAAACCAGAACTCTTATACAATTAATTAATAAAGAACAGAGACAAAATTGTACAAAAAAAAAAACAAAAAGGGACTGCCCACTAGACCAAGGTTACAAGATAAACCCGTATTTTATCTTTTTTCAATAAAACTTTTCAAAAAAACTTCATCCCTATAACTTTATTTCTTCAATAACTTAATATTATTGAATTTTTATTTAAAGATAAGAAAGTTAGTAGTAGGAGGAAATCTTGATTTTAAATAAAAATCCATAAAACATTTCACCATTAATTTCCCTTAAACAAAGTTTACAAAAAATTGCAAACAATTTATTCCCCAAAAAGCAAGATATCAAAACAATCGTATATCTCAAAATAATAGGCAGAGTTAGAAGACTAACCCAATGAAAAATGTTTTTTTATTCTTTAAACCCAATGCATCCTTATAAAGAGCATTTTGTGTGTGATTCAAATTTGCTTAAAGATTTTATATACTAAAGATTTAAGCAGTTAGGAATTCAGTGTGAGATTCGAATTTGCTTAACCATTTTGTTGCTTTCTTTATATATAGAGAAGTTTGATTAATTGTAACTTTTATTTTTTTTATTTCATTGGTGTACACAACATAGTATTTTGGATGGACTACTATTTTACGTATTTGGGTCTGTAATTTTTTTGGTTAATTGCAATCCTAAAACAAGGGTCTTTTTTGTATTTTTTTTCCTTCAAACAATAATCCAATATCTTAGTTTAATGTAGTTCTTGTGCTAAGTATTATTTATATTTCATTTTATGCTCCAAATAAATCTATAATATGTTTCGTGTTGCAACAACAAAGCATTATTGTTGGACTTATTGAAGGTTTAGACAATAAATTGTCAAGTACCACTTTAACGACACTAGGTAAGGTCATAAAATTATTGTTCAATGGCTTTAATGTATTTATATAATAACTGCAAATCATAATCCTATATTATGTCGCCTTTATATATCCGATTTTTTCACTCGATTTTTTTGAGACAAATTCGAATTATTCACGACTATATAACTTACCTCATTTTTTGGCAATATGTACTTTTTATCCGATTTTTTCCAACGACTTTTTGAAACACAACCGATTCATTATCGATGTTTTGGCTTGTCGACATTTTATTATTCCTCGACTTGCTAACTATGGGTCCACCATGAGAGCCTTTTGTTAATCAATAACAAATCGAGAACCTAGGTTTTGGGCCAGGCTGGGGAGAGCCATACCTCGCCAGCAATGGCACGGGAAGATCACTTGGCCAAAGCTGCTCATAGAAAGGTGTTCTACCAAAAAGAACCCTGATTTAGCTGGCTCCTACACCATCTTGTCCCTGCCATGGTGAGGACGGAAATTTGGATTTAGGGGTTAAAGCAGGATTATCAGGTCTCGGATTTCATCATTGGATACCATTCTAAACCTCGGATCAAACAACATGGACAACCTTGGTCAGCTGCCACTGAGAAGATGATAGAAAGCTTGAAGCAAAGTAAATACGTTTAGTAAGAATATAATGGTTTCTCTCAGCCTCCAGATTCAATTCATCTTAGAACAGTAGAAACTATAATATTCATCTTGAAAAGTTTAGGCAGTATGCTATGATACAACTTGTATCCATTCAAAGCACAAAAGAACTCATCAAAAGACAACATACCTGATGGTCTCTGTGAAATGATGGAATATCATATACAAAGGTGAAAGAATTTCTTTTGCAATGAGCTCCAACTGCTGAGGCATGACTCCCTTTTAAGATGTGGGTTCATGAAGTACTGCAATCATCCATAATCCATTAGCTATGGTCCCTTACCTTTCATAGCAATTTGTTGAAAGGCTTCACCATCAAGTTAGTTTTCATACTATAACCAGGTCAGTAATGGCAGAATGCTTTTTCCATGGGTCGCATTGGTCCACCCTCAAATTGCTCTTGCATGTTGAAAGTTCATTAAACAATTGTGTTGTAATAGTGCTAGAGCGACCAGTGCTCAAGGGACCTTGCAGGGGCCTTGAGTTCCATACATAATCACTATTAAACTAATGAAGGCTATTTTCAATGGGAGCTCATTTGGTTTTCTAACACATTTAACATGATAAGCAGACAATATTTAGCATTACAGGTATAGATGTATTTATTGAATACTTTCAGTTTACATACCCCTTGCGCATCTAATGTCTAACTTAACTATTCCAGTTGATGATTTGGACTTGAGTAATGTGTAGACTTTTAGGGGGTGTTTCTTACCTGGCAATTGGGAAACATTTATGTGGGCAAATTCAGTTTGTCACCCAATAATTAACTAGGGAATGTATGTGAAGATAACTTTGTCAGCATTACTGGCTTCGGTAATTCACTGCATTCTTACTTAAATTGTGCTTGCAGACTTTACCTTAAGGTGCTGCCTCACTCAGCAACATAATGGAGCAGGAGACAATTACAGCCTGAGAGGTGTTGCCTTTGCAACATGCTGTCATCATCTTTGCCAATGGAAATCTTACATGAGTAATGCCCTATTCTTTAGTATACAAATACCTTTGATCCTTTACAATCTGGTTCTTGTATCTGTTGTATATATCATGTGAAAGATACACACATAGAGAATTAGCATTCTATGAATCATAGGATCATTGCTCACACAAGCACATGCATGGACATGTAATATGGAAATATCTGAATGTTCATTTAGAGCACTATTAAATTATACATAATTGATTGTGCACAGTTCACAGTTAATGTGAAATATGCATAGTTCATAGTTCATGTGAATCGATCCAGAATTTTAAGTTCCCTGTAGGAATGAATTGCTTCATTTCATGGCTGGTTTTTCCTTCTTTTTTTTTTATATTTTTTTTTATAGATTCATTTATTTCTTGCATTATTTTGTGAAGATAGTTCATTTAGGAACCCTGTTCTTTTGGGCAATTGGCTGGAATATATAACAAAAAGGATATGTGTTTAGGATATGTGTTTTGGGAGTCAATCTTCGTCCAGCTGCTAGCTGTACCCATTTGCTTTCAGAGAAAATTAGTGACCATCAAATAAGAATCATGACCAGTTTTTGGAAGAAGCTTCTTCAAAGTGTTACTTTCTTCATTGTTCTGATATAGATGTAGGATTTCTATACAATATGGGGATATTCAAAGAAGGTTTCCATGCAATTACATGGTTCACCAGCTGGGCAGTAGATGCAGACCGCCAATTTGATTTCTCAGAAGCAATTGATCAGAGCTTACTTGTAAAAGCATGGTAATTTATTACTCTTTCTTCGTGAAAATGAGTTTAAATTTCCAATTTGCTGCTTTATATTATCGAAAAACTCTTGGTTGCCCCTTGTACTTTTAGAAAATGACTAGGTGCCCTGCTTTCTTTCGATGGGTTTGAAACAGCTAAATATCCTGTGAGAGCATAGTTCCTAATTTGAAAACTAGTTGTTGCATGGTTTTTGAAATACAACAGTCACAATTTCCTGTTAGAATAGGATACCTAATACTAGCACTGCTACACTCCTAGATTTTCTATCTTGTTTTGCATAATCAAATAATGGCACTTGGCTAACATGTTAATTGCGGATTCTGAAGAACATCATTGCAAGAGTGTTGCTTCTCTCTGTTTCATGAAGTGGCTATAGTTCTTATTGTAAGCAATGAGATCTTCACAAAACCATTTGTAAGATGGTCAATATAGGTCTATGCTTTCTTCCAAATAAATTAGTTTCCCTCAACAAATATTTCTGTTTCTTGAAAAATATCAAGGTGCTCTTCCATTTATTTTAAGAAATAAGAAAGTTCCATCATCTATGTTACAAGGATATGGGTACGAGTGTCAGTGCCATACACCAATATACATGTCAGAAACGCAACTTAGCCCCTTCTAGATACAACACATTCATCCATATATTGGAGGGGTCGGGAGGTGGGACTTTAAGTAATTAAAGTATCTTAGTTTCTATAGTGTTAGACATGTGTGTCACATTCTTAGTGTCTACATGAGCCCAAAACCTTGGATGCTCATCCAAGTCTTGTAGCCCATCATTTATTTAGAATGTTGGTGTTTACATTATTTTTGATAATGATTTTTATATCTTTTCTCCTGTTCTTTTTTTGTTTTGGCAGTAATGATGGCGGACAGCAAGGAGTTGAAAGCTTGTGAGAAATATGAAACCTGTAGAGAGAGAGCAAAGTTAGGGCTCATGTGTAAAGATATTATGGATATTGGGAGGCTTAAGTGGACTAAAATATGCCCCTTATAACATATTGCCTGAGAATCACTTAGTTGTTGCAAAGCCTACTAAACAGTCTATACATTCGGACCTTCCCTAAATGTTTATTGAACTTCAGTCGCATTTATAGTTAATTAACAATTAAATTTTCATTTGCATGATGAAAGTGCAAAATATATTCACCTTTGTTTATTCGAATTATATCCACCTTTTACGTTCCCATGCAAGGGTGTCCTCTCTCTCACACACACACTGATTTGGCTTAGCAAAGTGGTTAGTTATTGCTAGGTAGCAATGCGATATCCTAAGTCCTAGTTTCATTTATCTTTTATCTTATATCAAATATCCCAGGTTTCAATCTTTTCTTTTCACATTTTTGCCCCCATTATTTCAAATCCCATGCTTTCAAAGTATTGTTTTTATATTTATATACATTTGGAATACTTTAAAAAAAAACAAACATAGACTGTCCAACATTTTAGGAACAGATCTGAAGCGGACACTTGTTACAGTGTGGGTAGCCATGTTTTTCTTATTATTCTATATAATTTGGAATGGAAGCTGTCATGGAACTGTTGGAAATCTACTAAGACCGTACAAAAACAATTTTAAACACCCCCTCCAAAACCCGATGTTAAAAAACAAACATAGACTGTCCAACATTGGAATACTTTTTTAAAAAAACAAACGTAGACTGTCCAACATTTTAGGAACATATCTAAAGCGGACACTTGTTACAGTGTGGGTAGCCATGTTTTCCTTATTATTCTTTCATATATAATTTGGATAGAAGCTGCCATGGAACTGTTGGAATTCTACTAAGAGCCTACAAAAACAATTTTAAACACCCCCTCCAAAACCCGATGTTAAATTACCAAATCAATAGAAGGATTCAAAAACAAATCTAAAAACCACATCAAATTCTGATATGATAAATCAACAAAACAACCAGAAGTGTTATACTTTAAAAAAAAAAAAATTGTAGAGCAAACAAGATTGTAAACAATGTCCAAGTCTAGCTCCACTACGGTTAATTGCTTACACAAAACAATGGAGCAAACAAGATTGTAAACAATGTATATTTTCTTATAAGTCAGTTATAACACCATCCTAGAGGCCAAAGATAAAACTAGAATCACAAAAGACAAAAAGCATTATTGAAAAACAAGCTCAGGTTGGAAAAGAGAACCAAATAGCCTTAAGTTTTGCCAAAGCTGCCAAATCTCCAAGTATACATTGATACATATTGGTGAATATTTGTTACCAACATATATGTTTGTTGACAGCAGCTAGATATCATGATTGACCAACTCATTTGGTTCTATCAAAATATGCATATGAGGATTTTGATAAATAACATACAAATTAATAATTGCATTGGTTTTTGTCATTCATTTTTTATCAAATGATTAATAAGGCCATTGCAAGCGTTTCAAAAGCTCCCCAACCACAACCTAACCTTTCCTCCCACCCAACCTGCAGCATTCCCCAACCTTACCATCCACAACCTAGCCTTTTGGTTCGCTACCCCTGCAGCGTCACTGTCCATTCCTTCTCCTCCACCAAAAAGAAAAAAGCATCTCTCTATTCCCACAGACCGCCCGTCCATGCATTTTAGACCTCACCAAATGAATGTCAAATCATGGTGATCCAAGCAAGCAATACCTCGCTCCATGACTAGGCTTGAAATTTATCAAGCAACCATGCGGTCAACTCCACTATCACTACCTACCCTCCTCTTTATTCTTGACCACAGTCCCTTCCTCCTGTTCCCTAATTCAGAAGACATTTTGTTCCCCACGTAAGTTAGAGTTCGAGAGAAAAATATGATTAACATGCTATAAAACAATATAATTGAATGTGCATTACCAGGGTTTAATTAACTTAAAATCAATCTGGTCAATGTCACAATCAATATTGAAATTGCCCGTTAGAAATATTAAGTCATATCACAGAACAGAAAAAGTGACATAATTGACTTGGAATGGTTTGATAGTAGCTTGAAGAATAGTGAGGCTGTTTAGGGTCTTCCACTACATAGATGCATCTCTCCTGAAAAGATTGCTGGTTTGAATATCAAACCTCAATTCAGGTACAAGTTCAATAAAATTGAGCTCCAAACAGAAATGAATTTCACAAATAATGCAAGAAATAATGAAATTTGAACATAAAGTACAATCCCTACAAAAGGGCATCTTAGACAAAAATGCGACACAATATCTTCTCCAGTTCAATAAGTACCTCTAGAATGAAAATTCACGCACTTGTGCAGCTTTTAGAGTCCAGCTAGATGCCAATCCCACAAAACGTTTCACCAACTTTGTCAATGTGATTGCTACAATAAAAAGTTCGTAAGTCCTAACAGTTACCCATAAGTATCAGGAAATCAATCCTTGTGGCTTTCAGTTTAGAAGTCATATACATCACTCTTCAAAAGAGATGGTAAAAACCATTGCCCAATTCAACACCCAAAATGTCAAGGTTTTAGTTGAAATAAAGAAAATATACGAGAACCTTCACAATCAAATATATCTAAAGAATGGGCATGTGTTTAAACCAAGACATAAGTACATTATTGCCTAAACCAGTTGCTAAACTCGAGGCTCTCAAGGGGTTTACATTCATTTCCTTATAAACCACGGAAAAAATTAAAGTTCCCATCATTTACAATCCACATTTTCCTATCTGAACTGATACAGTTGCAGCTAACATTTCCTATTTTCTCAAAGACTTGGTAGTGGCTTGTTCATTGCTTTTCATTGGCTTGCGAGTGCCTCTTTTACAATTGTTTTCTCACAAGGCAATACATCACTTGCTTAATAAAAGCATTGAAACCAATTGTCCATAAGTAACTACTCTTCTAATTGGTTTTTCTAGATCAAATTTTTTTAAAAAAATATAAGTTTTGACCTTTGCGAGTCAAAAGGATATAATGGCCAACAACATCAACCAACAATTAAATCCTTGTATTGCAGACAAAATTTAAATTTTGTTTTTGGTAATTGAAGTAAAAAACGTTACTTACAATTTCAACAGATTTCCATACATACTATACTGAGACCTTTGTTAAGCACTTCTGAAGCACCTTCCTTTATACATATATACTAGAATGAATCATCCTATTAGTGATTTTAGAAATTACTCCAAAATTTTTGACAATAGGTTGCCCTTATATTAGTTAAAACTACCTTGATGTTTCCTTTTTTATCGAGTGAAGGACTTGAGGGTAATTATGAATGAATACAAACTCTTAAATTTCAAAGCTCCCTCATTGGATCATTGGGATCGTGTGAATTTTAATTTATGTTATTTTTGTCATTTGAAATTTGAGGCATGTATCCATCTATTTATCACAGACCCAAAAAATTGAAATAATAAAAATTATCAAAAACCATTTCACCAAAATCCCCTGAAATATTTGTAGGACTATTTTGGTCATTTTCACTATTCGAATTATTTTTATAGTATTCTTAGGGTGCATCTTTCTGACAGCACACATCCTCTAAATTTCAGGTAATTTGATCAGTAAAAAGGAAATAAAATGTTTTGAAATTTGTAACTTTGGAGCATGCACAATTATATTAAGCACCCTCCATTTGTTTTATAGATAGAAAAGACATATGTATTTTAATTAATATAACGGCAAAAGGTTCTTGAAAAAATTTATTAGAGATTTCTAAAATCACCATTCAGAATTAGGATGTATGTGTGCGTGTACAGATACATACAAGAATCTTCATTGACCATTTGAGACTAAAGCAAAGCAGTCAAACTCACTAGCCAACTTTATCTCGGAGCCAAATGAAAGACCGGGCTGGAACAAATGAGCAAAAATATACACTACTCCTGACTCCATACACCCACACAGTGAGACCTTCATCCTCATCCTTCTCCAAAACCGTTTTTATATAACCAGGGCAACATATATAACGAGCTGCAATAACCAGCAAAAAGGGTTTCCTCAAAGCCACTGGCTTGCTTCGAATGTCAAGAGAACGTGAAAATGAAGCTTTACAAAAAACAATTGCTACTGCCTGCTTAGTACCTTTAGTTTCAAATGAGAACCTTGGCAAATGGAGCAAAACATGTGCACAGAAGCAAGCTCTCCATGTTACAGCATGGTATCCTTCCATAGCCTCGCTGATAAATGCATCGATGCCTTCGATTATTGAACGCTTAGAAATAGGACGTGCAAATGGGGCTGGCAACTCCCTTTACTCCACACCCTCTATGCAAATGAACAACTTCTTTTATGGCATCAAAGATGGTCATGCCCTCCATGCATCATGATGGGGGTGAAATACTAAACTGGGCATGTTCCTGATGCATAAAATTCAAGATCAGTAATTTTCCCGAAGATACATGAAAAAAGAGAGTCAAAATTACATAATATAATCATATAAACTGTTCACTCGTTAAACCATGGGAGTAACAAGTATTCAAAATTTGAAAATTACTATGCATATATAGGAGAAAAAGCAGAATGTATAATGAATGAGGTGCTTGAAACAAATCTATAAAAGGACAGTAAAAATAAGAGGACATGGTGAGAAATCGTTACAAGATTACTTATAATGGCACATACCACCAAAGACTACAGCACACAGAGAATATCCCAATTTCACAAATCGAGCTTTAAACAGTTATTTGGATATTCCTCCAGCCGAAGGGGATAAAAAATATCCAATAACAATATAAAATAGTACCTGTACAGCAAGCAACCAAGCTTCCTGCAGCAGAGCTGAAAACATGCACGCAATGGTTGAACAGCAAGACCTCCACTCTTGGCATAACATATTGGTCTTTTCATCCGGCATCGAATTGTCCCAAATATGAGCCAATACTACTAGCGTAAACCCCATCTCTACCACCTGCAAAAAATTACATTGATTTAACAATAGAGGTAATTGAGAAACCATCTTGTTTTTTTTGAGAAAAGGTTAACTGCCTGAGAAACCATCTTGTTTAACAAAACAAACAACAAATATCTATAATGCAACCAGCAAAGACAAACAAACAGTATACAAAGTTGCATTTTCCATATTCAATGGCTATTTATACTTTTGTGGTCCCTAATCCCAATGTTTCATACTACCAAATGTTCCATTGGCAGGTTGCCATCCGATTATGGGCATGAATCGAATCCCAGGTCAACAAAATTATTTGTGTCTTGTGATGCAATTCATATCATCTATGAATCTCTCTCTCTCTCTCTCTCTCTCTCTCTCTCTATCTATCTATCTATCTATCTATCTATCTCTCTCACAAACACACACACAAGAAGAGGGAGAACTATGAACAACTAACCAAATTTGACCAAATTCTAGGTGAAATGAAACCAAATAGATGGATCTTGTAGTAAAAAGTTTTGAATCTTCTCATGAATCCTCTAGGCATAAAACCCAAACGAAATAAATTCACATGCATCATAATTCTCCACTATAGTCTGACAAAGCTATTATTCATGTAACAAATCTATCAGTCACAAGCTTTTTTAGAATGCTCCAGCCAAGATAGGGTCTACCCCATGATTTGGAGAGGTAAAGAATAAGGTAACAGGAGAGATCATCTAATGTCCTTAGATCTTTTTGAGATATCTCTTACTCATATCTTTTGCAGTCAGTTATTAGTAGAGATTTCTAAAGAAAACTGATAAAAAAGAAACAAATCTTACGGAGCCTGTTTCAAGTATATGTGAAATGACATCAAAGGACATTATATATTAGTATAGCTAGTTTTAGTTGTTCTAGAATCAAGAAGTAGAAGTACTCAAGTAAACCTTCAATACCGTGATACCAAGCATGAATTTATCATGATGGAGCACCCCTAGTCTGATTAGGAATTGTTTCTTGGATTCCATTACCATTTTAAGCATGGTGAGTCTGTGGGTGCGGATGTGATCAAATAATATAAATGTTTGTTTGTCCATGTGCATGTGTATGAAAGAGGGAATAAAAGAATTAGGATTTTTTATTGACATGGCAGGCCAGTCTCACACGCTTTGATGTGTCCATAGACCACAATGCACTTCCAATGGAGGAAATCTGTGATCCTAGCTAGGGTCACTGTGACAGAGAACTTGCCAATGTGAGAGGCAACTAAGGCATGTTGAGATGAGTACTAGAGGACCCAGACACCGCCAGAAGGTCTTATTGCATCCAGAGCTAACCACTGGCAGAGGAAAACCCCAAATATTCTGAATTTGGGAGAGAGAGGGAGAAGAAAGCTTGGTTTCCACCAAACCAAGAAGAGACGGAGAATACTGTGAAACAAATAGACGAATATTTGCCGTTTTCCTGGGTGGCCCAAACCCCTTATATTCCAAATAAGGATCTTTATAGCACAGCTACGGAGCGGATGGCACTTTTGGTCGGGCGACGAGAATGCTGAGGAGCTGAGGGAATGGGGAGGACCTTAGCTGAAGGTTCTTTTTTCTCGTACCTTACTTTGACATAGTTTGGATAGCTCCCAGGATGCTCTCTAATTGGTGGCAAGAGCCTTACCTTTGACATTCTTCAACTTACACTGGCGTTTAGATTCGGTATCAGCATTGATGAAGGCTTCAAAGGCTTCATGAGGGTTGTTGAACAGGAAGCCCATCACTAAAAGGATCTCGTGAGGATTGCCTTGGGCTTTGCATCCACAGAGCTAGAGTCCACAGAGACCGGTGAACAAGATTCCGAGGAATAGGAGGAATAGGGGTTATCAAAGGGGAGGGAAAGATGCGTGGGTGGGGGAGAAGGATGCTCTTCACTGAGATTGTACGGTAGCAGAGGGGGGAGGGGACCTTCAAGAGGGGGAATGTGGATAAAATGATAGCCAGAGGGGAAAAGGAGGTTGAGGTGGAATTAAGGGTGAAGAGGTAGGCCGAGGCGTGGAATATATGGCTAAGGATGGGCTTGATTGAGGGCTTGAGCATGAAGCCATTTGGTGAACAGGCTGGGTAGGCCTCAACATCAATGCTTGATTAAGCTAGTTAAGAGTTATTATGGAATTATTTATTTTATCAAGGGTAAAAATGTTATAAAATTTTTTGTTTTAATCAAGACTTCTTTTTTTTCAATTAGAATTAGGATTACTTGGAATTTAGGTAAGATCTTTTATTATAAATAGTGGTCGTATTCAGGGTTTTGCTTTCAGACTTAGATATCATTTTGTTCAAAATCCTGGTTTCACCAGAGAGCTAGAAGCTTGGATTGTAAGCTTCCTATTATTCAATCAATTCGATCCTTGATTTTTCTATTTCTCTTTTTTCTTTCCACCATACCATCTGGTATTAGAGCAGGCCCGTTCCCAAAGCGCATGAGCATTTGCAGCAAGTTTGCTTGATGGCGGTTAAAGAGGTCAAGTTCATGGATGTGGTGGTGACAAAGTTATATGTGAGGGAATAAAATGATCTGATGAGAATTGAGCAAGTGGTGTACGACAGATGTAAAAAAGGTCAAATCAAAGGAGATTTGAGGATCTGGTGGATGAGGTGAAGCCAACCCGCTCTGAATGATGTTTGGTCGTTCATGACAAAGGCGGATCTGTATCTAATTGCAGTTATAATTCACCTCATAACCTGAGGAGAGGTAATCTCGTTTTGCGAGCATAATTATTTTTTTGGTCTTAATAGACAGACCATAGAGAAACCCTTATCTCATCAAATTATCACTGTACTTCGCAACTTGCCGCTGAATTGAGGCAATTTCAATGTGTAAATTGCTGAAATTAGGCAGTTCTAGCATGTTTAAGTGGATGAATCGAGCATATCACAATAACGCCGTCAAACATACAACGACCATGTCCTTGAGTTGTTCTCACAACAGTTTATTTGCTCGTCGACCGATTGCAAAGCCCCAAATTTAACGCACAACGGTGCAAAACCAACACCCATAAAGGAGAGATCCGAGACCGATTCAACAACAACCTGTCGATCATGCCGGTTGATCAACAAGATGGAAACATCTTAGATCACCATCAAGAAAGGGAAAGGAACAAGGGCCCTTCCAGTCCTAACCGTGTCACTACTCGAAGTAGGCTGCACCACTACACAAAGTAGGGGCCTTCTCTAGTACGCCAAAGTAGGAGGGAATGTTTTTCAATTCTATAAATCAAAATAACATCAATAACTGCGCCTGTACAGTACATTTAAACCCACTTGTGGACCCTTGATATTGACCAAAATACCTCTAACAAAATAATACAATGACCAACCTACACTTATAACCTATTCCCCATACAATTAAATCAGCATTCTTGAAACCTAGTTCCCATTTTGCAAGTCCCCATTCATTAAACCAAATTCTCATGCGAAATAATAAATACCATAGATAACCCAAAAAAAGATGATAATCATGGGCCACCCTTTCATTAAATTGAGATACAATGTAACTTGTCCTTCTAAAAATAGTATCCCCCATATAATTAAAGTTCATAGCAGAACCCTCTAAATCAAGCCAATGTGATAAATATCAAATGCCGTGCATTTATGCCCAAGACGGGCGAATTTTATTGTAAGCACTGGTAGAAATGAAATTAAAATGATTGAAAATCATCTACTTAGTCACAAACAAAAGAAAGAAGAATTTATCCTCAACTAGGAAAAATGAAAAGGCGATGAATCCAAGCCAGTTGAAATGCATGAAAATCATCTACTTAGTCACAAACAAAAGAAAGAACAACTGATCATCAACTAGGAAAAATGAAAAAGCAATAAATCTAAGTCAATTTTAAAAACAAGTACTATGTACTAAGCCTATTTAATTTGTGCATTTGTCTGTTGCAAGGCCTTTTGGAGTTTGACGAATGTTACAATTAGGGGAGTTTTGATAAAAAATAAGTAGATAATATATTTTTCTTAGATACTAATTAACTTGGAAATGCGTGTACACCTCTATCCTCATACCATCAATTCAAGACAACTAAATTCGATATGTATAAAATCCAACGGATAACTTTGATTCAAATTAAATCTCCCAAAAGATGACCAATGTAAACTAAAATTTCTAACGTACCGCACCCGACTTTAGTTCCTAACCAGCAAACGTATTGCACCCATCACTTCTCCCTTTCTCTAAATCTCTCCATTTTACATCCCAAGGGCTTGTCCTTTCAATTTGTCTCTTTCCTCCCTCTCCCTCTCCCTCTCCCTCTCCCT